TATTCGGTTATTGACTCGTGTTTTCATGTATCTGCTGTGTGATTTACCTTAATTGTTGCCCATGTAGTGGTTTAAGTATTATGTTTTTTTCTCAGGACCTTTGAATTTGGATGGTTTGCACGTGAATTAACCATCTCGAAAACAGTATTACATAAAATCTGTATTTCTTTCATCAATTCAAAGATGATTATCCAAATGGTGCCAAAAAGAAACATTAACAAAATGTAGAAAAACTTAAAGTCGAAAACCCTCAAATCATCGGATCAAGGACAAGGTACTCAAAGATTTTACAAGTGTGAAATGAAACCAAGTGGTAATAATGGCTTCAATAGGCCATTTTCCTATACAATTTAGCAGCAACTCCACTAAACTTCATTCAAGATTCGTAACTTCGTATACCGAATCAAACAAGCCTCGTCTGCATCGAGTCATATTTGTAGCCTTACTTCATTGTACCCCTCCAACAGTTTCACACCTGCAATTAACAGTTTTTACCGATGCATAAAAATTGCATTATTCAGTTGATTTTCTGTTCTCGACTTCGTGGGCATCAAAAGTAATCAAGAACTCTTATACGTGACTAAAAACTTACTATCATTTGAGGAACTTTAATCAAAACGACTGCCAGAATGTATAAAATGCTTGCAATTATCACAGCTGCAATTAAATTGTGTCCAAGACGCTTATTGTCCTTGGTCGGCACAAATGCTGATTTTAATGTATTTGTAAGTTCAAAAAGCCTGTAAGACACCTGCAGAAAAGGTACGAGTACAATGATACAAAAGGCAGATCAGCAATAATTTTGGATGCACTAGTTTACGGGAAATAATGAACATAATAGAGGCAATTAAATGGAAGAGATGTTACCGCAATGTATATGGAAGCTGTGAGCATGAAATTTAATAATGGGTAATTTGGAATCAGTGAGAGTAACAGCTTTGGCTGACCATTTGGCACACTCGACCTACATTCAATCAGATACAGTTCAACAGCTAAGAATTATATCGAGGAGTGCCAGAAATAATTTTTAAATAACTTTACGTTTCTTGGAAATACTATAAACAACTTATCAAACAATGTCACTATTAATTAAGTAACCAACTAGATATTTTCAGATGTTTTTCGAAGAAATGGAGATTTGATTAAGTATGTCACATACCTTAACCATATATGAATCTGTGAGATGTAAGTTTCCAAAGTGACTTTCCCAAGCCATCTATTCATCAAAAAAATCAATGTCTGGTTAAGTGATCATTGTGAACAAAAACTTTTGCATTCTTACAAAGATTTCAATTCCTGTCACATGATAAATTTAAGAATTCATGGATACTTACGCAAAAAGTGTCAATGAGTAGCAGCGGAAGTGCTGGGTCACATTTCGTAGGCATATGTATACACTGGTAAAGCAGTAAAAGAAAAATCCAGATCAGCATTAAATTCCAGAGCACTTGCAACAATGGATTACAGATACATTAATTATACATGCTAAAGAGAATGGTGAATGAACATACGTTATTGGAATCCACGAAGTATAAGGATGATATTTGTTGTATGTAATCTTTGGAAGCTTGTACACGAATTCCACCCACAGATATCCAATCTGAAAAAAAAAATTATATACATTGGACACGAACTTGAAATGTTCAGGAATGAACTGAAAGATTGATGCATACTGTCAAGGAAACAATCCCAACAATCGATTTAATCAATATTCTGCGCTTTATTTCAGCTTCCTCCAATTTTTCCAACCATCTCTCCACCTGAAAAATCATTCCAAGGGTTTAAACTAAGAAAGATGTATCTGAAGTAAAAATCCAAACTCGAAGAGAATGAGTACAAGCATGCAGAGAAACTTACTGTGGGATGGTAATATGCATATATCATTCCAATTATCCAAATGTACCGATCAAGGCCTGAGCGGAAATGCCATTCATGCAAAAGGGAAAGTTTAACTTTTGAAGCTGGATCGGTGTACCCTGAAACAAATTCACATTGAGAAAGAGATGTACATTTTTCAAACTCAAAAGGTTTATTAATAGTAGTACAAATAGGACTAACCAAGCAGGAAAGTGAAGGGACTCCAGAAAATTTCAAATACACCGGGCACTTCCCCATAAAAGAACGACCACCAAAAAGCAGACCACTATTTTTGCGGCTATAACAATTCCACGCTCATTGTATTTGTTGAAAATACCAAGGGCTCCATACACCATCAGAGTGAAAAGAGTGTGCATGGGGCATATGTAGTATAGCATGTAATTGTTATTAAGTACAACGCAGCAAAAGAACACTAAGAAGTTAAGCCTCCACATCATCTACCAATCAAAAGTAATCTTTCGTGATTAGTATCTGAGTCATAAAATGGGATATTACTTTAAAAGATGGGAAAATAAATCATACCTGAATAAATCTAGCAAGGCTAAAATCCTTGCGGATGTAATAATATGAGAAATTCCCAAACCCTGTCATCCACACATAGCCAGCGATGAAGACTCTTATTGCATTGTAGAATTCTGTTGCAGCGAAGTAGTGATACATAAGAAATAAGACCTGTACATACGGAGAATAATTACCGCCATATCAGTGGCCTCTAAGCTTGCATAATGGATAACAAATATACAAATGAAACAAAAAACTGTTTCTCGTGAATTTCTTTGTTTTGGCTTCAGGGAGCATTCACTGTTATATGAAAAATATATTCAATTAAAATGAGAAATTAATAGAAAATATTTTGAACAAAATTTACCTGCATCCAACCTTTCCACTCCTCAGTTTGATGCCTGTTTAGATACATTATTGACTTCCCAGATAATGGTGATTTGTCATTATGTATCTTGAAAGAAGTCTTTGCTGAAACTATGATGAGAAGGAAGTACAGGAACAAGAAAAGATCCCGGTTATAACTCTGCCAACACAAACGATAGTTTGTTGAGAAAGCTTATCAGCAAATACATATGCAATATCTCCATTGAATAAGTATATAAAAGCATATAAGAAATAAAATATCATATGGCTACAGTTCTCTGTCTTATTCTTCAAATTTAAGATATAATATTCCTTTGTCCCATTTCCCGTGATCCTCGCACAACATAACAACTAAGTACATGGTCCTAATTTAATATAAGACACACATAAAGCCCAAAAAGAAAAGGAAAAACAAAGACACTCAGGTCCTGACCTTTTTCGCTTCACCAAGAAGATTTGTGCGATCGCATATGTAGAAGTAGATTAAAAGGGCTCCAAACTCCGACCTGTATAAACAAAAATAATATAAAACAAAAATCCTAAAACAGAATATCTACAGATCTATGGTTATCGATGAAGCTGTACACATACATGGCTCTCAAAATCAATCGATTTTCCAGCAAGAATGACTCATCCAGCATTAGAAGCCTGATAAGACGGTGAATACAAACACGTTAAGTTATAAAACGACCCGTGAAAATTTAAAATTATTTTTCACAAACCTGGTGAGTTGGGATGTTACTGATGAATTCCGTAATGTAGGAGAGGCTGAGTGAAGGCCACCTCCTTCCAAAAGAACAGCTCTATCATCTTCTTTAACTGTTCCGGCCAACTCAACTAAATTGATATCAGAATTCCTGCCACTAAAGTACAAGAAATTTAGAGGGGCCAACTAAAATTCAGTGAATCAGCAATTCATTTTCTATTTATTAAAAAAACAACCACTAACAAATTTCACCAAGACTATTCTCCTATGATATTCAAAGTGTCATCTCCATATAACATTGCATAAACATAAACAAGTCCAGCACGAGATATCGCTTCCACTTACTGCTTGGGCAATGATGAACTCTTCGCATTCTCCAAATATTCCGAGTATAACCAAGCAGCAAATACCGGTACTAGTCCCAGGAAAAAGGACACCTGCATTAATCAAATCAAGAAAACATGTAAATAATATCACCGAATCTTTTATTAAAATACTGATCTAATTAAATCAAGATAAATCGTAGAAATCGAACAAAAATCTCGCATTTGCACACTGTTCATTGCCAAGCAGTAGCCAGTGATATCATAATTTCAAGCATTTTCCACTACAACCACTTCCCAAAATCAAAAACTCGCAAAAATACACAAATTACTCCTAAAATGCTACTTGAACACTCGTGATTCACCAGAAAAACTAATTACCCAACCAAAAAAAGATCAATTTGCTGCATAAATTCCACGCATGTGCATAATTAAAAAATAATAAGTGATCAATCAACTGACCTGCCCAGGCGTTAACGGTCCATAGATCAACATTTTCAAATCACGGCTACTTCACTATGAATCAATTAACGAACATTTAGAAGCTCTGAAAATGGTGAATTGTGTGTGCAGAAGTGTGCGTATACACGCGGGAAAAAGAGGTGATGAAAATCAAAGTAAGAAAAACACAGATCTGAGTGAAAATAGATTAAAAAAATATGGCGGTGGGATAAGAAGAGCAATATTCTAAATATTTAAAATAAAATAAAATAAAAAGCAGCAGCAAAAGAGATCATTTTTGGGTTGGTTGGAGGATCATTGTTCTATCATTATTATTATTTTATTTTTTAATCCCCAAAATTGAAAATTCTCTTTTATTCTTATTAATTTAAACATTACTTATTGGTAGTAAAATATTGTTCTATTTTTGCATAATTATTATTATTGTTCTTTTTTGTGCTACGTGTAAAAATTTAGTACAATATTATATTATAACCAAAAAAAATACTTTACTTTATAAAATACAATAATAACAACTTATATAAAA